TATCCAGTCTGGCCTTGAATGTTGCCAGGGATGGAGCTCCATGAAGCAACCTATGCCAGTGCCTCACCACCCTCACAGTCAAGAATTTCTTCCTAATATCTAATCTAAGTTTGCCTTTTGTCAGTTTGAAGCTATTCCCCCTTGTCCCCAGTCCCTCTCCAGCTCTCTTGGAGTCCCTTTAGGCACTGGAAGGGGCACTAAGGTCTCCCTGGATCCTTCTCTCCTCCAGGTGAACACCCTCAGCTCTCCCAGCCTGTCTCCAGAGCAGAGGGGCTCCAGCCCTTGGGCCATCTCTGTGGCCTCTTCTGGACTTGCTCCAGCAGCTCCACATCCTCCTGATGCTGGGGCCCCAGATCTGGATGCAGGATTCCAGGTGGGGTCTCACCTGAGTGGGTCAGAGGGTCAGAATCCCCCCTTCACCTGCTCCCCCATGCTGTGGGGATGAGCCCAGGACACGAGGGCTTTCTGGGCTGTGGGTGCCCATAGTCAGGTGATACTGAGCTTCTCATCCACCAATATGCCCAAGTCCTTCTCAGGGCTGCTCTCAATTCCTTCCCTCTTCAGCCTGTGTCTGTGTTTGGGGTTGCCTTGACCCAGGTACGGGAGTTGCACCTGACCTTGTAGGATTCTGTAAGGTTTGCACAGGCCCACCTCTCCAGCTTGTCCCGGTCCCTCTGGATGGCCCATCCCTTCCCTCCAGCACATCAGCTGCACTACACAGCTTGGTGTCATTGGCAAACTTACTGTGGCTTCCCTCGATGCCACTGTCCATGGCACTGACAAAGATGTTAAACAGTGCTGGTCCCAAACTTGGACATTCAGCTGTTGACCCCCACTCTGAGTGTGACAACCAGCCAGTTCCTTATCCAGGGAGTGTTCCCTCTGTCAAACTTATGTCTCTCCAATTTAGGGACAAGGATTTCCTGTCAAATGTTGTACACAAGTCCAGGTAGATGATGTCAGTTGCTCTTCCCTCATCCACCCTCTTACAGAAGGCCACCAAATCTGTCAGGCATGGTTTGCTGTAAGTGAAGCCGTGCTGGCTGTCACCAGTTACCTCCTTATTTTCCATGTGCCTTAGCACAGTTTCCAGGAGGATCTCCATGATCTTGCTCGGCACAGAGGTGAGACTGACTGGCCTATAGTTCCCCAGGTCTTCCTTTTTTCCCCTTTTCAAAAATGGAGATTATGTTTTGTAGTCTGTGGGAACTTTACCAGATGACCATGACCACTGGCCACTTCTTCTGCCAGTTCCCTCAGGACCCTTGGATGCATGTCATCAGGTTCCATGGTCTTGGGCACCCTCTGGTTCCTTTGATGGTCTCAAACCTGTTCTACAGCAGGCAGTCCATTCTGCCAGTCCCTGCCTTTACCTTCTGTAACTCAGGCAGTGCATCTGGAGCACTTGTTGGTGAAGACTGAGTCAAAAATGTCATGGAGTACCTCAGCCTTCTCCATATCCCCAGTAACCAGGTCTTCTATTTCCTGCCAAAGAGGGTCCACGTTTTCCCTAGCCTTTCTCCTGTCACCCGTGTACCTACAGAAGCTTTTCTTGTTGCCCTTGATCCCTCAGATTTTTTCAGTAATGGCTCATTCCATGATGCAGTGAAGGTCTGACATCTCGTAGCTGCCAGAGGTGCACTTGCTGCTATGGTTGTGTTGTTATGAATGGGTGTTTGACTGGCTGTGGGAAATAGGGTTGAAATGGGAGAGTTTGCTACAGGTAATAATGCTCATGTATCTAAGTTAAAAATCTCACATTAAAGAGTGTGTATGAGTTGAGGATATGAGATGAGTTGAAGTATCTCTGCCTGAGCCATCGAGGTAGTAGTTTCTGTTTCTGCGTTTTGGCTTCAAAGGCTTGTGAAGGAAACTGAGAAGGTTTAATAGTACACGTTTTTCTGACAGCACATGGGGCATTTATTGATAGTTAATGACTTGACAGTAAAATATGTTAAAGAAATTGAGCCTGTGAAAGCCAGCTCTCAAGTTTTTTGTAGTTATTCATGCAGGTTGAAATATCTGTAACTCGGGAATAAATGGCAGGAAGGAGTTCTGTGGATTCAGTTGGTTTTCAGACTGATTTGACAGCCTACCACCATTCAGGTTTGTACGAGTTCCAGATCTTCAGATTGGAGAGGTACTGCCTCTGACATTAATTACTGAAGGTTTGCTTTCCTTCTTACGTGGTTGGACTTTCTCAGAGCTCTACATAAAGGCATTTAAAAAATGTAACTAAGAATCAGAACCAAAAGCTGAAGCAGGACATTTTAATGGAAAATTCGGCACTAGTGTTTTTTACCATGTGAGGTAATGGATGATTGAGGGGAGTAATATTTTGCTTTTAATGCCTTCAATGAAAATGTTTCCCCAAAACTTAAATAAGGCTCAGAAAAATATGCTGTGTTTAATGAAGGTGGTTGGATTAGACAGTCTTGCCTTGAGCTAGGAGGGAAATGTTTCCACTGTTGTGATCTTCTTGTAGACTTCAGCAACACAGTGAACAAGTATTCTCCTGTGAAATAAGTGCCTGAGTAAGCACTGATATAGTTGGTAGCTGTGAGTGCCTGCTGTCTTGTAGTCATTCCTGATGGATGCCATCCTGTTGGTTGATCTCACAGTCAACAGGAGTGACAGTGAGATTCCTGGAGCTTGGGTACTGGAGGACTGTGTTTCTTCAGTGGACAGAGACTCTCAGATGTTGAACCATCGTTCCCTTTTCCGGCTTGACTAGCATGCCTGGCCATAGTTTGCTTTACTAGATATTTTTTCCAGTCTCATTTGCTATAGCTGGACACAATCTCAAATATTTGGTTTTTTTCACTCTGTTTTATTCTTTGTTTTTGCATCTAATTTTTTTTCTGTGAACTTTCTGCTGTTCCTGACATCCCTCTTCTTTTTTCTCGAGTTGCCACTTTTTAATCGCCAGACTCCCATCTCGTATTTTTTTTGTATTCTTTGCATCAACTTCCAGTCTTTTGCCAGCTGTCCCATGTTTCCTCTGCTCTTTGCATTGTTGTTGGATATGGTTTTCTTATTGTTTACTTTCTTCTCTCTCAGTACTTCATTATTAAACACTAGACAAACAAGTAGGCCTTTTTTTTCAGCTCTCCTCGGTATCAGTGGAGTCTCTGGTAAGGTGTGCACGACACAATCAAGCCCCACGTTGTGGTAGATCTCCACACTGCCTGCTTTGGCAGAGGCCCTGCTGCAGCTGGAGCACTAATGAGAACTAAACTAGAGCACAGAAACGAGTGGCACTTTGAAGTCAAGGGTTTAAAGCCGGACCCTTGCCTGGGTAGAGCCTCCCACAAGCAGATTCTACTGAGGTCAAGGGGATCAAAAGTGATTCCTGGTTTGTTTCCACACAGTCTAGTTTTTGGGGCAGGTATCGAAGTTAAGGGTCTGTCGATGACCTTCATTAGTTGGTAGATTGTTTTTCACTTTTGAAATGGATTGTCTGCATTGCTTTTATTAATAAGCTTTTTTAAGATTCAGCACTACTTGATGAACAGAAGAACTTAAAAAATAAAGGGAAAAAAGAGCAAAATTATGTAGTGAGGAGCCTAATTTCTTGATCAGTTTTACCTTTTGTAGAACAAGTTATGCCAGTCTTGCAAGATCAGTCTTGCAGTGTTTTTGCTGGGTATCCCCCTGGCTTAGATCCACAGAAGAGTAGAAAGATGCTCTTCCACCCTCACAAATAAATGCACAGTTCTTGTAATAATTTTTGTAATTCTTTGTGTACATCAGCTAAAATTTCACTTCTTCAGCCAAACTGATGTAACAGCTATCAGTTCCCAAATGGACAGTCTCATCCCCTTTTTCTTAAATGCTAATCCAAGTGCTTTACTGATGCTGCAACTGATTTATGGAGGATTTTGTGATACTGTCCTATTTTTAGGTGCAAGGTAATTCTTCTTGATGGCTTTATATTTCTTTTTTATGGTAGCATCTCAAGTTCTGAAAGCTCTAAACATTTTAATTTTCTTACATGTCTAGATTTGTTTGTAAGACTGGATAATTGCAAAAGTAGAAATTTTGCAAAGAAATTAGCCAAAATCCATCTCTCCCTAAATCCCACTGTTTCACTGCAGTGTCGTTCTGAAGACAGACTGCAGTATTGTACTCATCTTTAGCCCTGAAAACAGGAGGGTTGCTGACTGCACAGTGTGGATGCAAATACAACTCATGCACCAGGTGCATCAGGTTGTTAAACTGCCGAGAAAGCTCACCTCTGCTCTATCCACACACTGCCCTGTGTGTGGATCCTCTGCTCTATCCACACACTGCCCCCGTGTGTGGATCCTTTTGTTATTAGGGACATTGAGGGAGTTGTGAGATCATGAAGGACAATGGTAACATACACTCATTTTAGAAATTAATTCTGCTCTTGCAAAGTAAATGCTGATGTGCTTACTTAGAAAATAGTGTCCTGCTAATATTTGATTCAGAGCTTTAAGTAGAAAGCAGATGTGCTCTTAAATTATGCCAAAAAGACTGATCCCTCTGTATAATATGCATGAAATATTTGGTTTTAGATGTGCAAATGTGGATTTGAGACCTCTCTAAAGCTTTCAGTGATAATGAAATACAAGTGTAATCAAGTGTCAGGTGTCCTTTAAGGAAGGGGTATGTGGAGGTGTACAGCAAACTCTCTTTTCATTAATGTGTGATGATGGGGAAGGAAGAGCATTTGTTCAGCTTGTAAACAACTGCAGCAAAGGGTCTTTTCCTCCTGAGGTACTGAAGTACAGTACTGGTTGGAAAGACATCTGGAGGGGAAAGACAAATAGTTTTCAGATATTGATTCTATTGTTCTCCTTAAAACACCCCTTTTTCCTTATATGTTGCTGGGAGCTGGTGGAAAAAATATGTGTAACTGAGATTTAACTGGTTTAAGGTTTATTGTTGGTAAAGGCATCACAGAACATAACGTTTTCATATTAGTTACTAATGAATGTGGTTGGAAAAAACCCCAATGATTTCTCTTTTTACAGAAAAACCTGCCATTGCTCCACCTGTCTTTGTATTTCAGAAGGATAAAGCACAGAAGGTAAGGAGATGTTGACACGGTTTTTTATTTATTTTGTTCTTAGCCTTGACTCCTTCCATGGTGATCAGCCCTTTGTCTATATTGCTGTGAAATTGAAGATGGATAATAGAGCATTAACATTATTAGTGGGCATGGGGCAAGAAGGTACTGAGAGGCTAAAAGTGGGAAGATGTATCATGGTAGCACAATACAGGTAGCTCCTCAGACAGAAAATGGACCACGGGAGAAAAAGTATCTGTGAAGGTGTGTCTTGAACATGTGGCAAAGGAACACTGACAGTTGAGTTGCATGAGAAATATAAAGTTTCTTTTTCTGATAATCATGTTAAGATAAAGCAAACAAAGCTGGTCTAGATTATTGTTTTTCACCTCAGTATGTGTAAATGTCTCTCATATCTTTGGTTAGCAGGCTGTAAAGTGTTAGTTACCTTGGGAAATGGTAATCCAGTTCCCTCATCTCAACATACTCCAGTTTTTAATTCTACCTGGTCAATAGTAAAAGCTATTAAGATTTGGGGGAGAGGAAAAATCAAGGTTACCGTTGTTTCACTTGACGATGGTGGGAACCCAGAGAAGTGTACTTGTGTACACACAATGCACTTTCTGTTGGATCACTGGATTGCTATGTTACCTGTGTAATCAGATAATGTTTGAATTGAGATACTGAACCATTTTTCAGTTGATAGCTTTTCTTTGGTTTGGAACAAGTACCAGCCTTGAGCTTTCTCACAGGTTCAGTAGGCATATTCATCATCAGAGCTTGAAATCTTTTCTTAGCTTGGGAAGGATTTAAATTTGCTCTTCTAATATTGACTAATCAAATTAAATCTACCTGAGAGTAAGTACTTTTGAGACGTTCTTTCAGTTAGAGTTTTTACAGTGATTGTTTGCATGTACTTTGGAGTGAAGGGAGTGCTAGTGCTTGCACTATCCATTTGGATCACATTTGCTTTTAGGAAACAGCTCCAATTGCCCACTGTTGCTTAGACTGTTGCTGAAGTGCCTTCTGAGATGCATCATGGTGAGTGTTCTCCCCAGGTGTCCTTCAGCCCAGCAGTGCTTCCATGATTAGTCTGGAAGCAGTGATCATAGCAGTGTGCAGCTCAGGCAGAGTGATGTGGTCCTGTGTCCTTTTTTGCTGGCCTGGTCCTTACGTGCCAAGATGACAGTTCTTGTGCTCTCAAGTTCCTTCATGCTGTACCTTTGCTTCTGCACAGAGCGCACACCTCCAGTGGCCTGCACAGTCCGTGCCTTCAGTGTTAGGCTGTGCAAGCTTCTGCATTAAGCTGTGAGACACATCTGTTGTACTCTGATAGATCTCAAGAAAATATTTGTAAAAAAATATATTAATTAAAGGTTAAATGTATTTTTGGGCTGCCATAGAGGATCCAGGGAGAGAGAGATCTGTGATTGTCTTCTCAGCTGCTGGGAATTCTGAGGACTATGGTGGTGCTGAGCTGGTCGCTGTGTTCGGGACAACCTCTGCCCAGGCACAGCTGGAGTTGTGGGGTGAAGGGTCTGTGCATGTCCAGCCCTGTGGGTTCCCAAGCACCGTGAAGGTACAGGGGTTAGAGATGAGTTAGGAACTGATCCAAATGCCAACAGGTGGTGGTGCTGTCGAGGGGGGGTAGCCATGGTCACTCTGGACATGAAATAAGGTCTACATGGGCTGGGGATTAAGGCTTCTTCCTTGAAGCAGATCAGAAGGAGTCTGGCATCTGCCAGTTAGTTGCCAATTTTCAAAGTAGTAACAGGCGTAAATGCTTATGTTAAAGTGTGTATTGTATGGAGATACAGGATTTTCTTAAAGGGTTTCTTAAAGGGAGAGTGATTTTCTTAAAGGGTTTCTTAAAGGGAGAGTGATTAATAATTTTAGTAGCTTCTGTTGTGTGTATTTGACACTGGAGAGAAGGAGTGGTGGAAGCATCAGTGCTGCGCTTCTTGCAGTTTGATTAAATAAAGCTTGTGCCAGTAGCTGGTTTTTGGTGTATAGGTACAATAGTAATATAGTTAGAACATGGTTCTGTGAGCCAAAAGTAACCACCACTTAATCTGTACTGTATATATCAGAACACAGCATTCAAGCCAGCTTTGATCAACTTAATCAAGGAAAGGTGCCTCAGGTTACACGCTGGTTGAGACCTTTCACTGTATTTTCAGAAAAACATAATAGCCAAATGTTCCCATTAGCAGTTAACTCCATGAGTATTTTTGTAAAAGGTGGCTGGTTAAGTGCTTTGCCTGCCACAAAAGACTACCTCTATTAAAGTTAACGAGGAAATTCTATTAACAAAGGACTTTTTCCTAGAGCAGTGTTTTGAAGAAAATGCCAACATAACTTCAAAATAACTGGTAAACAAGACACTTTTTGAATATGTAATTTCTCTGTGTAAATTGCAATTTTAATTTAGTCTGTCAAGTCACTTTTTTTCTGTTAGTGAAAGTGTTCATGGAGGCTTTTCAGTACTGACACAGCAGTTTGACAGTAAACCGGGGTGAGGAAAAGCACTGCATTGTGTATTCAGTTGTATGTGTGTATTCAGTATGGTGATTGCCAAGATGTTTGCCTAGTGCTCTTCCACATGAACCAGGACATCCTGAGCAGAATGACCATTTTGCAGAGTCTGCAGACTCTCTCAGTATTACAGCTGGGTGTATATAATTCAGTGATCTTACTGCCTTTTTTGAAACTAACAGTGTCTACTGGTAAGGTAAACAACATTATTTTTCTAGAAATCTCTACTTAAGTTTGTGCTTGTAAGGTATCAGATATTTGGGTCACACCAACCCGATGGAACACTCCAGGTTTGGGGCAGAGTGGCTGCAAAACTGTGCAACAGAGCTGGGGGTGATGGTCAGTGGTGGGCTGAACATGAGCCCAGGTGGCCAAGGAGGCCACTGGCACCCAGCCTGTACCAGCCACAGTGTGGCCAGCAGGACCAGGGCAGTGACTGTCCCCCTGTGCTGGCACTGCTGACACCTCACCTCAAAACCTGGTTTCAGTTTACGGCCTCTCATGACCAGAAAGACATTGAGGGTCTGGAGCGTGTCCAGAGGAGGGAACAGAGCTGGGGAAGGCTCTGGAGCGCCAGGAGTGGCTTGTGGGGGCTCAGCCTGGAGAAAAGGAGGCTCAAGGGGAACCTTCTTGCTCTTCACAACTCCCTGGCAGGAGGGTGGAGCCAGGTGGGGGTCAGGCTTTGCTCTCAGGGAACAAGGGACAGGACCAGAGGAAGTGATCTCAAGTTGTGTTGGGGTGGTTTAGGTTGGATATTAGGAAACATTTCTTCACCAGAAGATTGTCTAGCCCTTGCACAGACTGCCCAGGGCAGTGGTGGAGTTCCCATTTCTGGAGGGATTTAAAAGCCATGTGGATGTGTCACCTGGGGACATGGTTAGTGGTAGTCTTGGCATTGTTGGGTTGATGTTTGGACTTGATGATCTTAGAGATGTTTTTCAGCCAGAATGATTCTATAGTTCTGTGATCTGTTTCTCCATTAGAAGTCGGCAAATACTCAGCATGTTGTAGGACAAAGTTCATATTAGTCTAGAAACTAATTTTATAACTTGTCTTCCACCTAAGGTTTTATACACTTTAATAGAACATCAGAACTTGCAGTTTGTCATGTTGATTTAGAGGGGACCAAAAGTGCATGGTGTTCATAATGCTGCCTCCAAATTTTTTGTTCAGTGAGGAGGTTCAAGTTGTTTTCTTTTGCAGTTAAAGGCAGGATTAGTCTATCTGTTTTCGTTTTCATTATAGATATCAATTAATGGTGGATGTCAAGTTGGCTGTTTCTACATTTGAGTGAGTCTCCATTTTTGTGATTTTCATATATCCTTAATACGTTGAGAACTGTTTTTACAATGTGTGAAATAGAGATAGCCTCGCAGATATGTGAGTGTTAGCACTGCTGTTCATATTTCTGACAGGCAGAGTTTCTAATGCTGATGATAGTTGGAAAATTGCATCAGCTTAAGAGGACTCAAACTGTTAAGGTCTGAAAACAACACAAAGTCCGAACCTCGTTATGTTAGGCATAGAGTATTTCTGTTATTCCATTATCTATCCCAATAACTTATTCACGAGCTATGCTGTGCTTTCCACATCACTTTTTGAGTTGAATATTTCAGTTGATGGATATAACTTATTCTGTGATTAATGTTAGACACTTGTTTGACTTGTGTTTCTGCTCTGAAACTAGTTTTAGCTTTGCCATAAAACCATTTCATGACAAGTTTCTGGCCATAGGTTACTTGAAGTTATTTTCTGAAGTTAACTTTTAACATGCATTTCTGAGATGTAAGCATTCTGGTTTTTTGGATTTACACATTTTTAAGCAAGTATAATTGCTTGAACGAATTTAACGCCGTAGTGTTGTAAAGAAACATGTTGTCCAAAAATGCTTTTGTAGTAATGTCCTTTGTTCTGCAAGTGTGAGCTGTGGTGATCTTTCTGGTCCTTACTGATTCTCATCATGTTAGGATCATCAGGACCTCCCTAGTCTCAAGTACAAGAAAAAGTAGATATGCAACTGTGACTTAAAAATGTTTATGCTTGGAAACAAGCCATTGTCTGTGGTGTAGCTTGTGCCTTGTCCTATTCCCTTTGCCAGCCTGGGCTAGGATAATGGTAGAATATAGAAAAGAACACTTTAAATGAAAAAGGACAGCTTGTTGTATGACTAGTTTTGGTCAGTGTACTGCTTTCTGTAGGTGAATTGGTAGTGCTGAGCTTTGAAGGACGACTCTGAAAGAAAATAAGTTACATGATTCTTGGGTTGTGTTCCATTCTGAAGTGGTACAAAGAGTTTAAGGCCTGACTGGCATCTGGGTCCTAAAGATGAAGGCTCTGGAGTGAATAAGGGTTTACGTTGTTAAGTTGTTCTAGCTGTCATCACAGTCTTAACTGTGGAGTTTTAAGTAGGTGTTGAGTTGTAAAAGGGATTTAGATGATTAGAAAGATGATTAGTGATTTAGATGATTAGAAAGATGTCATTTGCAGGTGGTCTGGAGAGCAAAAGCGTGAGCTAGAAAGAATAAAGATGATATGTAAAGTAGGGATTAGTTGAAGTCTTGATTTGATGTATTGTTATTTGGAAATGTTTGATTTTGGTGGTTTGAGGAGATCTAGACTAGAAAATGTTGTTCATGCTGTAGGCATGACTTGTAGGTTTAGGATGGTGGCAGACAGAGAATTGTGGATGAAGTAACTTATTTATGGAGAGGCAAAGCATTCCCTTGGCCAGGCTCTCTCAGCATCCTTAGCACAACTGCCAAGAGACTTTGTTAGGGATACCTAATTGAACTGAGTTGTAAGTCAATAGTATATTTAAGGAGTTCAAATCGATGCCTAAGAGTTCCTGATTATGAATACATTGCTGCTCTTAAAATAAGGGTCATGAACATATTTGGAGAGACAGTTGTGCAAGGTGAACCTTGGAGGAATATAGAGAGGTTGATAATGTCAGAGGCTGTTGAGCATACCTGAGGTCTTTGGCTCTAAGCAGGTAAAAAGTGTGAAAAGAGGTACTGAGGGTAGTCTTTTTAGGCCATTGGATAGGCTAGGGTGGGGAAAATGAGGAAAGGAGTTGCAAATAGCACAACTTAGAAATGTGAGGAAAAGCTGATCCAAGAGTGCCAGTCTTTATTGAAAATGCATATTATTTGCTTGTCTGTATTTGAGGGTTTTAACGTCCTATTATTATTCGTCTCTCTGTTGATCTTTGCCTTAGTATTTAGGAGACAGGAACAGATTTTTGCCAGGTTATCCCTAGAGCTGTACTTTATAAGGAATGTTTCTTGTAGAGAATAGGAGGCTCAAGGAAGGACACACATCTCAGACAAAACATTACAGCAAAAATGAAGAGAGTGAACTGTTCACAAGGTACAAAGAACTTCGAACAAGAACTTAGATCAGAATTCATGCAGTTAAGAGATTAGGAAACACTTTCAATAGCATGTGTGAATGAAGACTAAAATTAATTTTATGAGTTTGCAGTTTCCCTTGGATATGCTTTCTTGAGAACAGCTGTATAAACTTCTGCCTGGTGTAGTTCTGTTTTGACAAATCCATGAGTCCTTTGTTGGCTTTGTCTTTCATGACTTAAACCAACTAAACACTCCTAAATAGAATTCACAAAATTCTGAAACTTGTAGTAGTTTTTCATTAATTTATTTTTTCTAATATAATTTTATGTATTGACTTGGCCATGAACTTCTCATCTTGGCTTCAGATTTTTTGGCATAAGAGTGGTGATTGGCAATAATTCTTATTTTTTGTTTGTTTCTTTTGTGGGACATATTCCAGTCTTACTCAGGATAGGAATCAGAGTTACGATTGTTTCATTTTTTAAAATACTTGTCACCAATTATACTTATTAAAATCTGTTGGATGTTTAGCCCACTTTTAGGTGTTCTAAACTTATATAAATTACTTGGAAAATAATTTGTCATTTCCACTTTTAAGTGTCTAGCACAAGTGTGTATTGAATGTTCTTGCCTCTTCTTGCATTATTAGCAATTTTCTGATCTGTAGCTAAAAGTCAATGTAAATTTCTGGTAAGGCTATTTTTTTTTCCTCTCCTAATTTCTCCAGTTGCTTGCTGAATGTGTGTGTTGAGCTACTGGGATCCATGGCATCTTTTGACAGGAAGTTTAGCAGCATGGGCTTCTTGTCCCCTTTAGTTTTGTTCAGGACTTCATTTGAGCCTGTAATAGCCAAGTTTAATGAGATCCTTCCAGCTCTTGCTCTGTGACAGTCACTGCATTGCCATCTTACGTGCCACTTATGATTTCACAGTTATATGCCTGCTCCTTTTAATTCCAAATTCTGTGTATTACAGCTGAAGAACAATAAGGTATTTAGCTATTATTATGTGGAAACACTTCACACCCTCTCTCTAAGAGTTATTTTGCCTCTTATGAGCACTGAATCTTTTTGGTAAACTCCAGCCTCAATCTGGCTGTCTGCAGTTTCCTAATCATTCCCTCTGGTGATGGTTGGCTCATCCTGAGGACCATTCTGAGTACTTGACAGGGAGCAGAATTCATTCCCATCCTGTTGAATCTCTCGGATTCATCCCCATCCCCATTTCCTAGTACCCTTCTTGTTACAGCTTTCCAGCACTGTGGCTTTTAGGGTGCCCCCACCCTGTGCAGGTTCTTCCCAGGCCGTGTGAGTTCATGGCAGGGTTGTGTCAGTGGCTGTGCCGGCTGGGCAGGGTGTGGGGGTGTGGGTGCTGCAGGGGCAGGCTCTGGGCCCAGGAGCTGAGTGCACGTGGCTCTGCTGTGGCTCGATGGATCCCCGAGCTGAATGCTTGCAGAGTCTGGGAACTGGTGACGAAGTGATGAGGGTTTAAATGTTAAAACCATTGTGCATGCTTCCAGAAAACCAGAAACCTGCCTGGCTCAGCGAGATGAGCATGAGCTCCGTGGCAGAGGCTGGCTCTGCTCGGGCAAGGCCTTGGGCCTGCAGGTGACCAGAGGAGGCTGGGCAGGACTGAGGAGCTGTGGGGGAAAGGGCTGTGTTGTGAGGCACGTGGGGATGATTTGGGGTAGCAGAGAGAGAACCAAAGGACATGTGTACTGTAAGCCATGAGAAATATCAGATCTTCAGTGGTGCTGCTGTTGTGGTGAGTGTGATGCAGGTAACTTGTGACTTAATTGTTGTACTTTATTTATGGCTGTTTCCCCTTGAAAGGGAAGAAGAAGGGTTTAGTGGCCCGTGGAATGCCCTTGGCCTCAACAGTGAGATTTAGCATAAAAATGGATTAGGAGTAATGGGTATTACGCATCAAGTGGAGAACTGAGGTGTTTACATATTGTCTTTCTCTGTGACTACCATACCTATGTTGTAAGTGCTGGTGACAGCTCCAGATAGTCTTTTCCTGCTGTTCTCCCCAGCAAAAGAGGTAAGGAAGGTTGCTAGAGTGCTAGACTTGATTACATTTCTGGTGACAAAGGAAATGTTTCTTTAACTCTTCTCATTCTGTGGGGTTTTGAGTTAATGTTTGAATCTGTTAGTAACAACTAAATATTAAACCCAGAAAATTTTGACAGTACTAAAGCCCAGCATCCCCAACTTTTACCTGACATAGTATTACCCCAGTAAATATATTTCAACTATTTTCAGCCTTAATTAGAGTAATTTCTTGCAAGATAAAATTTTATGTATTGCAGGCTTTTAGTAATTGTTTCTGTTGTGATAACAGACCAAATCTTAATTGGAGAACTTGGGGCCCTTAAGATGTAAATGCTGCTGTTTATTTTTGAAGTTTCTGTTTACTCTCTTGCATGGACCTGGCATTTTTAATCTCCCTTCATTCTACCAAGTGTTTTCTCTGAACAAGCCAAGGTTGTGTTCATCTTTGCCTTACTGCTGGATTCCTTAGATACTTTACCATAAGACATTGGGAAGCTTGGCCCGAAGATCGCTGTTGGGAGCACATCCTTGGCTTACATGTTATCCATGGACTGTAACTTAGTCCTTAATCACAATACAGTTGTTTGGGCTCAAAGCCTATAAGTTTTTTATTCTTCAGATGTGTGCAGAATATGGTAATGCTTGATTTGTTCTACAAGCAGGGATGTGCAACATTAAATGATGTGAAGAAATGACAAGTCTGTGGCAGAAGCTCAGAAAATACCAAATTGCACTAGGCTGCATTAGTTATCCTGTCACCTCCCTCCTTGAAATAGATGTGAAAATTTTTTAATTTATGAAAGAAAGCATTGATGTTGCTTTTTGGATAATTCACCATCATGTGACTCTGAAAGGATCACCTGTCTTGTGTGAATGTTAAAATAATTTCTGTGGAGAGTTTTGTAACCAACCTCACCTCCCTGAATTGTGAGCTGAAGAAGCAATGAAGGACAGTTATTTACAGTAATTGTCTATTTAATTTTTATGTCTGAATCTGGGTGTAAAAGCTATCAGCTGTCTTTAAGTGTTCAAGCGAAGGAGTTAAACTCCAACAGCCCTGTGATTGGCAAAATGTTCTTTGCCAGGGACACAGATGATTTTGGCGAACTTTCAAAAAAAGTCCATTCGTTCCACGTGATGCTTTTTTGTGGGGAGGGGAAGCCAATTCAGTCAGCAGGTTGTTACACAGTTCCTATGTATTTTAACTGGTGTCTCAGCAGCAAGCAGCTCCTTCTACCATACTGTGAAAACAGTGGAATTTAAAAATGGGTTAGCAGATGCTCTCACTAGGACAACTGCTCTCTCATGTTGCAGCCTTGCATTGAAGGGACGTTGTCTTTTCTGCTCACAGTCCCCTGCAGAGCAAAAAGCTTTGTCGGATTCAGGCGAGGACCCCCAGGGAGAGGTTGAGCCCCTCCACCATGGTGTGGGTCATACAGAACCAGCTGGTGAGCGCGACTCTGAGCACCCTGCTCCCACTGTGGCCTCAGTCAGTGCTACCCTGAGTCCCGCTTCTGAAGCCCAACTTGCTCCTATTCAACTGGCAGGGGTAAGTGTCAACCTACCAAGTACTTCTGCTGCTGAGGGGATTAGAGGAAAAAGTCGCTTCCACGCAGTGGAATCTGTTACTGTTCATTGTAGGCAGTGCAGCTCACTGTCTGCTTCTTTGATCTCAAGTGTTAGTCCTCTCTAAGTCCTTGTTCTACTTAGCAGAAATTAGATTTGTTTGGGTCTCACTAGTAGTGTAACTCTAGAAGATGCCTGAAGTATTTTAAAATTTAGGGTGTAAACTGTGTGTTTGCTAAAGATGAGAGCACTTACCTAAATGAGTGAGAAAGTTCATCTGTATTTGTGGGATTTGCTTTAAGCAGTTAGGGGAGAGCTCTTTGTTCCATCTGAGCCATAATGCTGCGGCTTGACAAAGCAAGCAGTTAATACTGTGCTTTCACTGGATATAAAAGGAGCTTGTCATGACAACCTGTAAGGTACTTAATAGATTAAAAGCACCAAGAATCGTACTAACACAGAATTTTGAATTTAAGTATTTGATGGGGGAGGAAGTCAGTACCTTGTGATTGGAAAAGCTGTCAGTGCTCATAATGTAGAATTTTTCTACTGGTGGTGCAGCAAAATATTTTGTGAAAGATTAGATGACTAAATCACTGCTGCTATTCAGTTTTTCAGAGCACTTTTAAGTGTTCGTAATCTTTGTGGTTGGTGGGCCATATTTTCTTGGTGCAGGTGAGTATCATTGGTCACTGTGACACCACACCCTAGGCATGTGCTCTTTGCTAGATCTTTGCCTGTTAAGGCTACTCCACCCAATACCTGCACCCTTTTCTTGGCTGGTTGGTTTGGGTTTTTTTTAATCCAAGAACGGGCCACTTCAAGTAAACTCAGTGCTGAATGGATTGTCATGACAAGATGCAAATAGCTGAAGGTTAAGCACATTTCCATGTTCAGACTGTTGCTTGATGACCTGCTGCAGAAATCTTTCTGTTTCAGAAAGTGTTAGTGTTAGTGTTGCAGTGTTAGTACAGCTGTCCAAGAGAACTGCATTAACCAGACTTTCAGGAAAACTGCAGCAAGTCTTGGTCTTGTTCTTAGAGAGCAGAAAATCTTACTTGAGTTAACCCAGTTCTGAAAGAAATGTAAAAAACAAAACTGCTGTTGGGAGTCACATACAGGAATTCGTGGCAGTACAGCACAGCTATCTCAGCATCCTTGAATTTGACTTCATTCAATTAAAGTTATGGAGTTGTACAGTGGTCAGTAGGGGCATGTAACTGGCTTTCACATGCACTGGCAAGCATTCTTCCAATTATCCCGATCTCTTAGAATAAAACATCTCTTATCTTGAAACATAGAGAAGGTTGATGTATCTTCAGTGTGCTTGTACTGATTTGCTGGAGCACAAGTTTTCATGCAATGTTTCTAGGGCCTTGGGAGGATGGGTGAATTAAGACTGAAGAAGAGACACTACATATTTCTTGTTCACTTGGTATTGTTTGTACACTCAGACAAATAATTTTGCTCAGACTTGAACAGGGTGTGATCAGAGGTACAGTGTGTCCCAGAGCTGATGGTCACATCCTGAGGCTCTGACCCAGGCCAGCCTCCTGCAGCACAAGGCTGTGCCAGCAGGGCTCACTGGGTAAGGACAGCACTTAAGCAAGTTGTGCCCATTCAGTAATGCCTCTGGTGCATTACTCTGCTGCAGGGTGTCTTGACTGCAAATGTGCCTTACTGTGCTCTGAAGTCCTTTATATATGAGCTTTTGCATCTTAAATGTGTTTTCAAAGATAAACACTGTATGTATACTCTTTCAACTTTCCCCGAATTACGTTGGCCTTTTTTTTACTTTGCTCAAATTCTCCCTTCCTGTCCCTGTTTCTGTTCATTTTTTATGAATAAGCGAAAACTGACAAATTTCTTAAAGTTTTTAAGGTCTTCTCTCTTAGTTTGATGTAGCAACTATGTGAGGAAGTAATGTTTGTACTCTAGTTAATTACTATCACTGGCACTTTTAAAAAGCAGTTGGTAGCATTTATAAAGGTAATTTCCTTAGTTAGAAGTGTGTCACAATTGTAGGAAGCTCTATTTAGAAATAATTGTAACTTTCCTGTAGCTGGATTTCTAAAAGCAGGGGGAGGAGAGAGTAAGTGAAGGGTGACTTCTGCTCTTAAATGAGATAATTGTAGGTTGGATTTTGATGTTACTGGTTTAAGTGTCTCTTCAGCATCTAATTCCAAAGCACTGAATGGAGAGAAATTGAGTCACCTTGGTGGTTCCTTGCAAGATGAGATGGTCCTGCCTTTTGTTTCCGCTGTGTAGCGTACTTGTGTAAAGCATGTATTGCTGTAAAGTGGACTGACTAGGCTGGGAAGAAAGGCCTGAAATGAAGAGGCTGGACTGCTGTTCATTGCAATTAGCTGCAATTTGCTGGTTTTCCAGTCTGTCAGGTTTGTCATGCATATATTCCCCTGATATTTTCCCCTGATTTTTGTCTAGTCTCCCCAGCTTCCTCTGAAGCAGCACTGGTAAGCAATTCTGGCTGCAATGGTAACTTTATTGTGTGGCTTCATACAAAAGTGAAGCTTATACAGTACATATGTGTACCCACACTCCCACAGTATCTGCCTGTTTGTCCAAAGGTGCACAGCTTTAATCTTCCAAAACTCTTGGACTAGGAAGCATGAAAATAACTTGGAGCAACTGCTCTGCTGTGCTTTGCCCTCAATAGGGTAAAGAGTTAGTTTTGGATTTGGATGCCCCTTGCCCACTGAACATGGTGATGGTACATTAGTTGTGCTTGTGTCAGTGAAATTACAAGGATGTGATGATCTGAGGCTTGTGCTATACAGGTTTGGCTTTTTTTTTGACTATTATTTGAGCATTGAGAGGACAACACATATTAGTAACAGCTTAAGAAGTTTTTGACATTCAAGAGGAAACCACTTCTTTATTTTTAAGGATTTTTGCATATTGAGATCTGCAGTTCCATTCATGCAATTTTTTTACCGAATGTGTTCCTTTTGCTTTCAGATTTTTGATAAAAGTTGAAACAAGTTGCTGGTATATGTGACAACGCTTTCTGTGCAAAATAGATTTTGGTTGCTGAAATATATATAACGTGATTTTCCACTTCTTTGGAAAACTAATGTATGTTGGTAAGGGCAATGACTAATAGGACTCTTCTAGTACTGTGACTACTTGACTGATTATGTAGGAAGAGCCATGGATGATCCAAGTGCAGTATTAACACTGATACGTGTGTGTGAATGGAGGGGATTGCATTCTGGAACTGTCAGTAGCTTCTCATTCTCTAAGCTAAAACTTTCAAAAGTATCAACTAGGATGCTAGTGAGGTAGCTATACTCTTAAAGTAAAATAAAACAGAAAAGCTCTTAATTGCATAGGCAAAGTACAGGGTTTTTATTTAGTGAAATACTGACAGTACACTGCTATCTGGGTTCTAAATATATGCAGTGCTAAATGGAAAGTTTCATATTTTCTGGTATTCTCATACACAAGGTATTCCTCAGATGTCAGTCCTGTGCAGACTTAGCCAGTGCTGTTGTGTGCCAACCTGCTCTCAGTGTCCAAGGGCCCGAGTCCTGGTGTGGGAGGACCTTTGGGGCTGCTGTGGGTTCTGCCTGTTCCTCCTCACAGCAGCTCTGAAGTGAGACTGTGTGGAGAGGAGGTGTCTGTGTGCATGTCCTGGGCAGGATTGGGATGAAAGGGTAGTGTTGGACTCGGGAGAAGGTCCAGTATGTCAAGAGCTATCTGAAAGGAGGGTGCAGCCAGGTGGGTGTTGGTCTGTTCTTCCAGGTAACAAGTGTCAGGAACATAAGAAATGACCTCAAGTTGAAGGTTTAGATTGCATATTAGGAAATGCCCGTTCCCCAGAGGGGTTGTGCAGCCCTGTGGTTATACATGGGATGACTCCAGTACAACAGCAGTAGTGGAGTCATCATCCCTGCGGGAGTTTGTAAGATGTGTGAATGTGGCACTTGGGGACATGGTTCAGTGGTGGGCATGGCAGTGCTGAGGAAACTATTGGACTTGGTGATCTTAAAGGTGTTTGCTAACCTAAACATTTCTATGATTCTAAAATGTTTTGGAATGAGATAAAAGTGCTAGTGCTGCCCTGGTCACCTTCCAGAGTGAAAGGAATGTGTTGTGGGATTACACTTTGCAGGAGTAAAGGAGACTGTATATTAGCTGAGGAACTGGAAGAGCAAGTAGGAGGAAAGAGACCTAGAAATCCTCAGAAAATATGTAAAACCTGTGTTCAAACATCACAGTTTTGAATGTTTTGATAGTTGGCAGCCTGTAGTGCTTTCTTTTTTGTTCCTGGTAGTGTGGAAGATGTTAGGAGTCTATCCATTGCTAATTCCAATGAAAATACTATTGTACTGCTTTATAGGGTGTGCTTTCAAAGACAGTGCTGTCACTTTTTTGAAAGAACTAATGTCACTTAGAGTAACTAGAGCAAGTGCTTTGGAATGAACTTCCGAATAATAGGTATGTCTATGTTGAGCTTGAAACTTCTGTGATATTTTTAAATCAAACAAAATTTGAAAACTGTCATTTTCAGATTTTCACTGTATAGAAAATGTACTGTAATAATTGTTACATAGTCCCTAAGTATATTAGTGCTTGTATATGAATCATCAGGAATCTTATTTGTAAATGAAATATTTTGAATTAGTTGTATTTAATAGTATCTGAGTGAAACTCTATATGATTACATGTAAATCATAAGAAGTAATGCTTTGCCTTGAGAGTATGTGATTGACAGTAAAGAAAAAAATCTCCAAACTGATTACTGAATCACTTGGATCAATCTGAAGAGACTGAAATGTTCAGTTTGTGATTTTTGTTTGATTGCTGTAATCTGATTTCAGAGATCAGCAGATGGATCAAGTCCAGAAGATGGAGATGGTAAGAGATTTTATTGTAAGTTTAAAAGCCTTGAGCGTGTGTCTTATTGGAGCACTGTGCATTTTCTCTTAACTGCTCTTTTCTCCAGAATCTGATCGAGAGGATGGAAGCTACTGTCCCCCTGTAAAACGGGAGAGAACTTCGTCCTTAACGCAGTTCCCTCCTCAGTCAGGTAAATGTTGCTATGATATTGTATACAAGGGGTGGGTTTCCTTCTTAGACCTTTCCTTTTTCCAGTCATGTTAGCAGTCTTATTTCTGTCTGCTGTGCTTTGTCTTAAGGCCACAGCAACCATGTACTCTCTATTTTTCTATGGTCCACGTTAACAAATTTGGTGAAGCCCAAAGAAATTGAGAAATAGTTTTAAAAAATATTTTTTATCTGTAAGTTTATATATATTTGTATTTTCAGCTTTTAATCTTGTGCTGTTAAAGTGAAGAATTAACCAGAAGTCTTTTTGATTTGTTGTGATCAGATTGCTTCTTAACAAATTTGAGTTTCTTAGTTACTCTGCTGCCGGGAAAGCTTCCCAGTCTTAGCTTGTGCTTGTTCTAGTCCTTTTCTCTTTTCTTCCATCCTTTTTAAAACGGGAAGGATTTAGTGCATCCCTGAAACACCTGGCAGATGCAAGAGAGAATGACCACAGCTCATGTGTGTAGTCAGGGCAGTGAAATCACTGGGGTAAATTTGTGCAGTTCATGTGCACGGGAATGGTCATGTTTCACATTTGTTCACCCACAGGAACAATCTCCTAAGATTTGTGTTTTCTCTGCAGATATTATGGTGATTTTAGTTTTGGTTGAGGATTATTTTAGTTAAGATATGTCAGTATTTGAGGCAGATTTGGAGACTTTGCTACTTTATTTCCACTATCTTAGTTGAAATAAAGGAGATGAGAAAGACTTCTTATCAAAAGGGGAGAACAGTAAAAAAGTATTCCTGTCACATGCAGCACATTCAGGAGATGTGACTAAAAGGTGAAAGCCTAGTTATTTTGCTTTTAATTTAAAGAAGTAAGTGACTATGAAATTGAAAATCTAGTTACTGATGCTTTACGGGCATGGTATTCTCATTTCTTGCACCAGTGCTAGTCAGGGAGGCACCGTGCACTTGGCAAAGGAATTGCCTGCACAGAAGTAATGAATAGGAGGTTTTGGTCTGTAGATTTTCTGTTAGAATAACAGTATGTTATAGCATGTTGGGAGCTTCCTTTTGGCCAGACCTTGTACTTCCAGATTCCCTATAATCACTAACACTTCCATTCCCTAGTGTCTCTATCTTATGAGATTAGAAATCTTTATGCTAATGTTGAAGAAGTAGAGGAAAACAATTTATTAAACTCTTTCATGGTTAAATAATTGTTGTTCCAGGAGTCCAGCATACCTTTTCAAGCACCTGTTTAGCTAATGTATTCTGACTGGATATGGGCATTTATTCCCTGATTCACTTATTCCCTTCTGATGTGTGTTGTTGTCAAGAAGTGACAACTTGGATTGGAATTGCAACTTCCATAGAGACCTCTTTGAATATTGTTGACATTATTTGATGACTTTAATTTCCAGAAAATCTTTCACTTTCCCAACTTGTTAATTTTTTTGTGCGGTTATGTTTCTCTCCAGAGTAGGGAAGTTTTACTTATATGAAACATGTGTCATGTTCAGGGCAGACAGTAATAAAAAGAGAGAAGATGGAATTAAAGAAAAGAAGCAAATATGAAAAAAAATTTGCCTTTTAATTGTAAAGGTCAAATGCTGCATCATTTAATACAATGGTGTTCAGAGATGAGATTCCTTTCTCTTTTCAAAATACTTCAGCTTCTTCTAGAGCCTTATAGAAGCTAAAAGAGCTTCTACTGTTATACTTTTCCTCATGCAAGATGATCTGTTGGAGACAAAGCCCCCCCTGCTATTATTGCCTTGTGACTCTTAGTGCCTCTGTCTCCTCTGGTGGTCCTAGTTCATAAACTGGGTTGTGAGTTTTTGTATGACACTGAAGGTACTGGAACTGCTGGACAGAGCCACAACCAAACTGCCAACTGCTTGCTTCTCTAGGTCCCAGCAAAGGGGGGGAAAGAAACACTGTCCTTTGTCCATTCCTGTCAAACATTTTTTCCCTTTTGTGATGCTCTGCTGGTTAAGTGACATCTGCCAGTACTCTGTACTCTCCTCTCTGTCTGCAGGAGTTTTGTCTTTGCAAGGCAGTTTAAACCTAAGTTACCTGGCTGCTCTTGGTGCAGACTGTGCCATCCCTCAGAGACCAGGTGTTTGCTCCTACTCTTTAGCAGACATTACACACCTTTCTGCCCTCTCTGCAGGGTCCTTTTGAAATGTTATACCTGATTTGTAATGGTATTATACATTCTAACATAACTTCTAATTCCTACTTCATATACAATTCAGATATTTATCTTCCCTTCAGAATAAATGAATTTATTCTTTCTTTCTTTCAGGAGAAACTAGGGAGATTTAAGGGCAATGACTTGTTGACTACCTTGGCTTGAATACTGTTTTAGTTTAGAAGAAGAAAAAAAAAAAAAAGAACAAATTACTAGAAAAATAATTTTCCATTTGAAGCCTTGATACATTTGGGGACAGGTTTATAATTGAAAACAACATACACAACTTCCTTAATTTTTTGCTTTTCCTTGACTGCAGTAACAAAGAACAATGTCTTTATGCCATCAAGCTTCTGTGAACCCTCTACAGGCAATTCTGACTCAGAACCAGGTGAGCTTCCTCATTTTTCTGCTTTTTTTTCTCAAACTGTTATCAATTTGTTATGATCCAAAGCACTCTGATACTTCAGAAGTAAGACCCTATCTGTGAGATTGGAAGTGGGGATGGTTCTAACCTTGGAGCTGTTACCTTGCTCACCTCATTGTTTGACTTCATCCTTGCTGGAGGTAATTAAAATAATAAATAGGAAAATTGTTTCATGCTTTGTGAGTGATGAAGAAGACTGCAATATGACCCTTCTCTGTTAGCCTCACAATAAAACTTAGAGGAAACCTTCATTTATTGACTTTGGAATACTGTTTTTCTGTATTAGAAAGCAAAACAGCCATAATCTATGGTCTTGATGATGTTCAGCCGTGACCTGTGAGCCCTGTGTTGATAGAACTGCTGATTTTGTTAGTCCCTATTCTGGTTCAGTTGTGTTGATATTGCTGTAGTGCACGTCAGTGTCTTATGATTAACTGGCATGAGAATAACCAAGTACAGTGGGATTGTAAAATGCTGGGTTGTCTTATTCTGAGCACAGACATTGTGCCTCTAAAAGGAAAAAAAGTATAATTATTCTTTTAAGTTCTTAAGAACTCAGTTTTTAATAGGTGTGGATTTATGAATGTTTTGAGACCGGTGTTTTATCTAAAAACCCTAACTGTAGTGAGTGCAAGCAAAGGAATTTCTTTTCCCTTCATACTGTAAAAGCATATGGTAAAAGCTAATGGAATTACAAGAAACTAATGTTAAGCAATGAAGTTTAAGTTATGATGACTAGCAGTTGGGTGCTTGTTAGCACCTGTCATATTCAGTCATACCTCTGATTGTCCTGTCTTTAGTTTGATTCTCACCTAAAACCTCTATCTCTATTAAGTTCTTCACAGTAGGAGCTCCATTTCTCTTGTGAACACAGTCTTTTTCCTGTTCTGAAAAAAAAAAAAGTTTAATTTTTTGCTGCAACAACTTGTTTGTCTGTAATGTGTATTTGATGTGATGATCACTGGAAATTCAGATTTCTTTTGGAAGAAGAGAATTTTTTTCTTTGGAAATCTCCTAATAACTTTGAATGGGTATAGAACTTGTGGGTTGTTACAACAGGGAAAACAGGAGGAATTTTATGACTGCATACATGTTTGTAGTATGTTACAGCTTTGTCCTTGTAATATTTTGTTTTACTTCCAGAGGAAAAGAGCAGTGGATTCCGGCTGAAGCCACCAATACTTATCCATGGTCAGGCACCTAGTGCAGGTGAGTTCACTGTTTTCTGCAAGAGTACAAAGAAACCAGTTCAAGCATTTTATTTAGTAGTTTCTTCAACCTACTATTAAAAAAAAATTAAAAATAAATTAAAAAAATTAAAAATTAAAAATTGTAACTATTGAAGGTGGCAATAGCTGTGTGTCTGCAGAAAAAAAACCTTGTCTTCTGCAGAGTGGTTGTGCCCAATTCGGTGTGTGTGTGTATGGGCACACCCATGTCTTGCGTGTCTGAAGTGTATCCTGGCTGTCTCTGCTTAGCAGGCTTTTATTCTGGGCTTGGATCTGTGAACTGGAACAAAAGGGGAGCTCCAGGAGTGCCCCAAGCAAGTTCCAGCCATTACTGGGTGGTCAAACTGGGACCAGACCAGGGCAGTCTGAAGTGTCAGTCACTCCCCACTTCTGCTCTCCCTGACTTTTGGCAGCAGTGTGGGCAGTGAGTGCTTGATCCTGCCTGTTCTGCACCGCAGGTTGGCTGTGACTGAGTTTCCTGTTTACTGATGTAGACCCAGCTACTACAGAAAAGACATAAATATTACAGCTCCTTAGGAGTTTAAGGGGAAAAAAAACCCAAAACTATTTAGATAATGGAAGCTGTTATTACATATGGATATGAAAACTTTATTTCACTTGCAGGAAGAATGATAAATTTAAGAAAGGAACAAGCTTTTTTGAGCTGTCCTATGAACGTTTGAATTTAGGATGGTTGTTACATTCTGTTGTCATGTCCTCTGAATATGGGTGGCCTGAAATGGAGCTAGCTGCTATGAGTGAGTTCTCTTGCAGTATTGTATTGGATCAAGAGTTCATCTTGACTTTGTTCAGTGAAGAAAACTGAATCTTCTGGAATTGCTGTAACCTTCTGGAGCTGATGTGATGATGTTTGGGATTTTTTATTAGGTTGCTTGAGGTCAGATGGCTTTTTGAATCATAGCAGAATTAGAGTTGTAGTGCTGTGTATCTAACTATAGCAAACCAAAGAGACTAGGTTAATTCAAAAAGCCAAAAAGTTGTTAAACAACACAGCTCAACTATTACACTACCAATACATTTGATTGTATGAAGAAAAAAAAATCTTTTACCCGTATCTGGAAATTACTTCAATAGTATGAGAAAAGAAGAGTTGGAATGTGTAAATAAATGAATAAATAAATTAAATAAATTTAATTAAATAAAATGTCAATGCATAAATAGGATTATTGGTTCATTTCTCCTACATTTTGACTTTTATTTCGGAGTCAGTAGTAAACTCTCCTTCTGTGCTTTCCTGGGTAGAGAATATATTTTAAAGTGTCTTTTAAGGCTATGAAGTAGTCTTCTCTATTTTGGACTAATTCTGTTTCGAGGCTGAGTGAGGGACGGAAAAGAAGGGAGTGGATGCTTTTCTGATGTCTGTTTTTTCATTGTATGTTCTGTTGGGAGCAGTTACAGAGAAGATTAGATGAAACTGAACTTTTCAACTTTAAAGCTTTATAGCTCTTGAAAAAACTTTGCACCTGCAGGTCTCCCTAGCCAGAAACCGAAGGAACAGCAGCGAAGTGTGCTCCGTCCAGCAGTATTACAGGCACCACAGCCAAAAGCTTTCTCACAAATGGGTAAATAATGCTTTTGCTTCCTAGAATACAGTGGAGAGAGAACAAAAATGTTCAGTCTGATGGAGTGGTTTGGTTTTACTCAACATCCACCTAGTTTTTCTAGGTTTCTCCTTTCAGAAGAGAAACATCTTAAATGTTAAGTGTATCTGTGTTATATAAGGGATAACACAGTGGAACTTTCAGGTCCTGTGTAAGACAACTGTCTGACGTTGCCAGATCTCTAACTTTGGTGTAGTCCATGCTTGAGTTTTGGGATAAAAAGACTTCTGAGTGTGTGGACTAGCAATCTGAAATGACAGACAGCATTGACCACGGTGTCAAAAGCTATCATTGATAATTGATCAGCAGTGCCTAAATTGCTGAGAGGTGCCTCTGGGCTTCTGGACCATTTTGGAGTTGTGACTTTGAGATAGAATTTTAATTCTTAAGTTTGATCATTCATATAATGTTATGGAATTTGATATAGCTGATGGAAATAGACATGAATAAAGACTGGAGGTTAAAGCAGAAAAACTGTTTGAAGTGTCCATGTCTCCTAAATTCTGTGTTTCCTTAGCCTTTTGTTATGTGGAATTTTGGTTGAACAGAAAAAATGAGTAACTTCACTTAATCGTGAATCTGACATAGAAGCAAACATTTCTAGCTTGATTTCTTGACATGTCTGCTGTCACAGAGTGGACTCTACAGAAAACTCAATATTGGAGTACAGATTTTCAGTGTGAGTTCAGTACGTGAGTAGGTAAATCAGCCTGAAGAGGAGCCTTCTTTGGAACAGTGTTAGATTGGAGTAGGGTGATTGCTTGAAGTTGTATGTATTGAAGTGCTTGCAGCACTTGATTGATTAAATGACTTTTTTTGCTGACTTGTTTTTCTGTTTGAAATTTTGATTCTGCTAGGAACTGCTGAATTGTGGTCCTTATGTCTTTTGCAAAATACTGTGGAGCTCTAGTTTGCATTGCAACGTTTCATGGACTTAAAAGAGAAAACAGCATGCAATTTGCATTAGAAAACTTTTGGGACAGCCTAAATATCTAGAGAATTTATGTGATTTTCTCTTTCTGTGTTGCAGTTCTCAGCAGTGGCACTAATGGTGTAAATATCCCGCCAGATTCTGCAGCCACATCAGAATTACCAAGTGATACAACACTGAAAAGTTCTGACTCTGAAGAGAAGGTGAGTTGGAGAAGGAGACTCAAAGTAACAGACTTTAAATATTCTCTGAACAGAGTAAAAATCCAGCATCATTAAATGAATTCCCTACAAGAAATGGAGAGTGCAGGTAATGAGAGGCTGAAAAACCTCACCTAGAGCAGAAGACATTTAAGTACATCAGAAGTTGTTTATTTACTATCTTGAAAGAAAAGTAATGACATATTTCCTTCCAGTTCTGTGCAGTGTATCCAGTCCTTTCCTTCCTTTGAGTTCACCATTAGCATCTGAAGATCCTGACAGATGGCATGGGGAGGGTGTTTTGGGATTTTGAATGTGGGCTTTTGATGCCACATTGATCACAGAAGTAGTATTATTTAGTGCAAGAGTATGGAACAGTTCACTTGACATTCAAGTCTCAGTCCTGAATATCCAAGCAGAAACACTTGCAGTGTGACTGGCTTTTTAAGGTTTAGGACTGCTGCCATAACTGAGTAACGATAAGTAAATTCCACGCATGGACCAGCATGAAAACTTTGTGGAACACGCTTGTTACTGCTGCATACATCGTTAGGGAGAACCTCTTTGTGCTTTTAACATCCAAAAGTCCTCCTAACTTTTTTAATCAACTGACCTGGGAGAAAGTTTTCTGATAGAAGAAAGATCTTAAATCTGGATGCTAAGGATTTCTGAGGCTCAATATTAAATGGTATAAAATTCATAACTGAATTGCAATTTGACCAAGGAATGTGGTGGGATAGTCTTAATTGTCTTCGCGTTTGTAGTCAGCTTTGTCTGCCTGAAGCTTTCTAGCGCAGGTAGAAGTTACTTGAGTTCGTGCAGTAGTTGTGTTAAATGCTGGAGTCTCTGCAGAATATTAGATTGTTTGATAAGAGTGAAAGATTACCTCTGGAATTGTGTTATATTAGTAATTGTATGTGCAGATCTGTGGGATAGATTTGATGTACCACAGAGAGAAGGCTTCCTTGTGAGGGCAAGTATGTGGTATTTTGCAGTATTACATGAGCATGCCTTTGTTTGAGCAGATGTGAGTCACAGTCTTACTTTACTGGCAGAAAAGATTTTTCTTTGATGTCTCTGTCTTGTGTTAATACAAGGTAGCACAGTGGGAATGTTCTCAGTCTGGTGGCTGTCCTACTCTGAGTGGCTCTGTGGCAACCTGTACCTATGTGATCTCTGTCTTGATAATCCCTAGGAAACTACAGAAGCCCTAAGCAACACAGACCTTAGATGGGTACAAGCTGCAGCCTTTGATCCAACCTCTCTCAACTGGTAGGAGAGTCTGGTGGCTGAAAATCATCAGATGTGCAGGGAAGCTTGATAGGCAGCTGGTCAAGCTCATCATGCAGCTCTCAGACCTTTTGGTAGCAGGGGCATGCTGATCCTTATTCAGAAGAAGAACCTGTTAAAGAGATTCTAGAGTAATGATTTTTCCTTTTGACCATGGATGAAAGGGCTGCAAACAAGGCTTCTACTGGTATTGACAGTGAAGGCAAGATGAAGGAAAATTGTAGACCTGCTGCAAAATGTTGGAGGGAACTTAGTGATGAAGGAGATGGAAAAAATCTGAGTGAGTCAAGGCTTTGTCTTTATTTCTACTGAAGAGATCTGCTGTCAGGTCTACCTACACCCTTTTTATAGGGGAAGTTTGGGGAACTCAGTTATTACAGTAAATTTGCTTAAGGACTGTTTTAGACAGTTTGACACATACAGGTCTAGAGGACTAGACAGGATGCTGGTGCTGAGGGGAGCAGCCAGTGGCTGGAATTCTGACAGGCATCAGTCACTGCAGGCACTCCTTAGGACTGTTCGACGTTTACATGAACAACCTGGCAAGGTGAAGTGAATCTTGTTAGGTTTGTGGATGCCAGTCCATTGTGGGAAGGGGAAATGGTCAGTATGTTGGAAGATGGGCTGTTCAGCACATTCTCAGCAGGCTGAAAAAAAATGAGCCAAGAGAAACAAACTAGTGGTCAACAAATGCAAAGTTCTGTACCTGAGGTGAGAGAACCTGTGTGTCACAAGAACTGAAGAGGGATTGGCTAGAAAGCAGCTTGTGCAGACAAGTCTTGGAGATCCTGGTATTGTATGAAGAACGTTGAGGCAAATTCTCTTTACGGAATTTGTTGGCAGGTCTCTAGCACATAGTATTGCTTTTAAGGGTGACAGTTATTTTATTTTGGAGGAAGGGAAAGCAAAAAGGGAGAGAAGAGGGAAGACTTCTCATTGGCCAGCCATGAAGACCAGTAAAAGGGGTTCCTTGCATAGCATCTTGCCTAGGTGTCCTCTCGAGTGGAGCAGGTGGTGCCCCCTAATATTCTTCCCATAGTAACTACGTAGTTTTCATCAAAACATGCTCAAACTTCCTATTCTTTTGGGTTATTTTCTGCTTATGATGCTCTTGATGCTGATGGACACATGCTTTGCTGAAGGGCAGCTACTGTGTGCGGGTTACTTGTGAAGCTTTGTGTGTGCATTATGGTGTGTATTCCCATGGGTATCCAAAGATACGAGGTAGGAAATAGGAAGAGAAGAGGAAGGGGGTGATTCCCATGCTGATTGTGATTGCTTTCCAATGCCACTCTAAGGGTTTGCCAGGTGCAAGGCCCTGAGTGTAATGAAATGGGAACTATAGTATGGGAATAATCAGGGAAAGTGCTGCCCCAGCAACTGCAGGGAGAGGTCCTGGAGCTGCTTGTGGAAAGCAGGCAGCAGAGATGTGGAATAGAAATAAGATCCTTAGCAGAACAGAAAGTTCAGGAACTTTCAGGTGCTGTGCAGCAATCATGAACAATAGCTTGAACACAAATAAGCACTGTGCATCCTTTTATTGATGAAGAGAACCTATGGTGCTGCTTTACCGAGACTGCAGCCATTAAGTTCACAAAAGTGATCATTCCCTTTTCTTCCCACTGGTGGAGGGGCTTACCAGTACATGAAAGACACTTGAAAGTCACCAAAGGGCCTAGTGGCTGAAGCACATGATGTGTAATGAAAAAGGTGAGCATGTTCTGCTTGGACTAGGGCAGGGGAATTGGACTGTTCTCCTCAGCTCTCAAGTGGTGGGATGTGGCAAGATAAAATGAAATTTGGGAATGGCTACCAAACGAATGAGAAGCTGCAGGTGTGGTGAAGGGGGATTCCAGATGGGTGTCAGTATAAAACTATCCTGTTCAGTGCTGTTGTACATTGAACTAGGCTACCAAAATGTAAAACTGCCATCTGTGGAGTTTTTGAGACTCTACTGTATGAGATCTTGGGTAGCCTAGCATAAGTTTGCAGTTGATGCTGCTTTGAACACTGTTTGGACCAAACGACTGTTAGAAATTCCTTTGAATCTTAACTATTCTGTGATTTGTTAAGAAAAACACTCTAAACAACAACAGCTACATTATTTTAAATGCAAAACTTGCCTTGTAGCTCTTGAGATGTTACTGGCTTATCATTGTAAATGAGTGTGTGACTCACCATGTCATAATGTGTGTTTATTTAAAGAAACTCAGATACCTAGGCTGCATTTTTCCATTTCTTTAGGCAGAAGAATGTCAGAAAAAGGAGTCCAACAATACTTCAGATAACAGCTGTGAGAAGGCTGAACTAAATGCACAGCAAGCATTTGTATTTGGGCAAAACTTAAGAGATAGAGTTAAGGTAAGCATGTTTATTCTCTTAACTAAGTTTATGAAGTAATTTGAAGCTACTAAATGACAGGGTTAAAACCTCCATGTATATATGTAAAATTAAAAGTTGTGAACATAGTTAGGTTGACTGTTTAATAAAACTAAGTCTTAGACATTTAATAAATGATTTAATTCTGTTAGGTAGCATAAGAATCTTTTTCACAAATAAATGCATCTGCTGCAATCGTAAGTAACATCTAAAACTCAGTGCAGTGTAGTGTTCTGTCTTACCTTTTGAGTCAGAATTAAGTTGAAATGCAATCCTGAAATGCTCCCATGCAACCAAGACTTCACAGAAAAGGTAAGAAAAGAAAAAAAGGGCTGCCTGGGCTCAAACCTGTGCATGGAGTAACTGAGTTGGATTGTTAGTACCTCCTGTTGAAGACAGATCTGTACAGGTTTCGTAGCGTAATAGAAGGAAGTGTAATATCGGGGCCTAGGCTTATATTATTTTATTGTAAAAAGCATTTTTGGATGGAACTTTGTCCTTAGAAAGAAGGAGTTGCGGTCAGTAATTAAAACTGTCAATGTCTACTTGTGCTTTTTCTAGCTAGGAGACGAAGGCGATGAAACTGCTGATGTGCAGAATGCTGGCCTTCCTACATCAGATACACCTTCTGCAACTAACTATTTTCTACAGTACATCAGTTCCAGGTGAGACTACAGGAAAACTTATAGGACAGTTCCCCTTACTCTTGATTGAAAATTCTTTGTGATTCTGCTCTTTATCGGATGCAAGGTTTAGACTGGGTCAGTGGGAACCCGGGCTTCTGGAGAATGTGATGACAGTCTTCAGATGTGGGGCAATCCTCAATCATCTGGTCAAGGGAGATACTTTTGATACCATTTACATGACCACATCCTCACCAAAGCCTCTTCAGAAAAGTAACAAGCATAAGATGAAAAAAGTCTTCTCATGGTGAGAAAGGAACAGTGATGGAATAAATTGGAGCTACCAGTAGAATCCTGTAGAGATCTGGACTGTATTTGTGTAGCTCAGTATGTTTCACACATGATATTGATAAAGGGAAGAATAGTTTCAAAAAATTATTTTTTCGTGTTAGTAAGCTTTTCAGAGCAAGGTAGAGGGCCTGTTTGAATAAGCAGGAACCTAACTGTGGAAGTCTTTGTGAAATTTTCTGATCAAGCAGTAGCATTAGAAGAAATATGATGTAGGCATAGGTAAAGTGAGGCAGCTAAGGTGAAAACTGCTAATTGTGTCTGAGCTGACAGCCTTCACTTCAGGCTAAGGTAGCCATACAGCTCTGTGAAAATGCTAGCTTAGTAGTGGTCAAAAATACCAAGTATACACAGAAATAATAGAAAACAGAAAGATAATATCTTACTACACAGAGCTGTGAATTCAGGTAACAACTGGAAAAGCATGAGGGGAAGTCCTACCAAGAGTGATGGAGTAGAACAACGTCTGTTCCTGGAGCAAGCTGAAATTCGTGTTGTCCGAATGAAGGCCACAAAAAAATTGTAGGAAAAGCACCAATGCATGTTTGCTTTGTCCTTATATTCTGCATTTTTAAGACCTGTTGTTCACTATGAAGTAGGCAGTTTTGCAACCAATGAACTTTTGATGCTGAACTTTTCAGATGATGTGCATGAGAGGCAGGGAACACCTTTACTTCTGCATGCCTTTCCATATTTGTTTAATCAGATTTGGCAGACAATAACTGCTAATATGTGGACTTCAAATACTAGAATATTTTTTCATATCTTTCAACTCATATGACATCTACTGTCATAATTCGTTTGAGTCTTTACTTTGGGAGGATTCATTCGTTGTGGGTCAGTTGCCACAAACCTACTTTTGGACTTGTCTTAAAAAAAAAACAAACTAAAGTGTCTGTAAGGGGAGTTGGCCCTAGTTTTCAGCTGGGATGGCAAAGCATTCTGGTAATGGACTGGTAAAAGGAGATTCCTCCCACTGTGTAACAGTGTCAGTCCTTTAAAAATTGTAAATGTACTGGGTCCCATGGCAGATACCAGTAGGTCATTCTGAGTTCCCTGTTAACATCTGGAGCTCAGAACTGTGGCATTTAATTCCCTTAGTAGGTAAAGCTGTCTTCCCTTGAGGATCTCCTTTGTTCTATGAATCTCCTTACTCAGAAGTAGGAACTCTACATATACAATTTAAAGGTTTGTTTGGTTTCACTTGAACCATGTAGTGACATATGTGCCCCCATTTTCCAAACTTTGTGAAGTGCAGGTACGCTTGATTTGAGTGGTCTGTTGATTCATTTCGTGAGCATGTTGGTGTCTTAGAAAGGTACACCAGATGAACAATGACTTGTTAAGTCTTTTGAGTCTGTAAAAGAGTAAAACTGGGTTTTAAAATCTCTTAATAAAAATAACAGTGGGAGGAGGATGCTTATTCCATAAAGAAGGAGTAAAGGCTGAAATTTGATTGTGAAACTTCTTGGAGAGGCTGTGGTATTGCAGCTAGTCTAATAAAAGGCATTACTTATCCCTGCTATCTCTGTTTCAGTTACTGTACTGGAAGTGCATTTGTTTCAGTTCTTTCCCTTTCTGAAAAAAATTAACCCAAAAAAAGTGTAGTAGTTCAAGTTTATGCATGTAGAATACTGTTTTTCAATGAGTATGTTATGTGGTTAAACAGTAAGCCCTCACTTAGCATTCAGCATTGCTTTGTATGTAATTAGTTATCTAAAGGGAAAGATCTTAAAAGTGGCAAAATCATCTGTCATCATTCTGAGAGAATTCTTTTTCAGTAAAACCAGTATGTGCTCTCATGTTACTAAGTTGAATTAATTTTTACCTATGTTTGTATCAACCAGTGTTAAATTTTTTTAAAGTTAGTGACAATCACTCACTTTGTGAGGAATTTTATTAGTAGAAGATAGGAGATAATTTTCTGTCTTATAAAACCTGTTTTGTTTGTTGCATTTTTTTCAGTGTAGAGAGCTCTACAAACAGTGCAGATGCATCTAGCAACAAGTTTGTTTTTGGCCAGAACATGAGTGAGCGAGTCCTAGTAAGTACCCACTGTGTATGATATGTTGTAATTTTGCAAGTAGTTTGTTATGGATTCTCACCTAGGAATTTTGAGAGCCTTTAATTGTACTTGTCGTTTGAGAATGGGTTTTTTTCAGTGGTTTCCCTTGTAGGTAACCTTGAGTGCAGCGTGGGGAGTTCATTATGAGCTGTTGTCTGCCCCGCAGTGCTCTCCAAGGACTTGCCTGCCAAGCTGCCTGTGTAAGGGGATTCAGTGCCCTCCCTGTTGTGCACATGGCTCTTGTGCCCGAGCACTTCATGGCACAGACTGTTGCTCTGAATGGTTGAGTATAAGTATGGGAGGGTGTTTTATGTTTTCCCTCAAAACTGAGAGCAGGTCAGTTTCTTGACTCCCCTCAGGATGGGATTTAAAGTTAAGCACTGAGGCAGCTGCCTCAGGACTGAGGTATGATTCAGAAAGTTTTGATTAGTATGTACCAACCTAAGGAATAATTTCTAGTGCCTCACTATTTCATGTTGTTGTTTTTATTCCTGTACTGGAACAAAATGGAAGCGTTTAAAGCTGAGCATTCATACCTGTCTATGTAGCAGGGAGTTCAGTCAGCTATGCCATGAGCTGAACTGTAGCTGAAATTGGCTTGCTTTGTTAAACATAGCTTCAAAATAAGTGTTGAAATTTGATTTCAGGTCAAGGGAAAATAATTTGAATTGGTTTTCAGGTCACACTGTTCAATTCCTTGGCTGGGGTAGTAGGATGGCTTTTACTGTGAAAGCATTTGTCTGTGAGATTCTCCTTTTGCATATCGTTTATAAACAGTGGGGCTTCCGTCAGTAATGGATCACTAGTCCTGTTCAGCAAAATAAGTGTGTGTTTTCTCTCTTTTGTTTACCTCCTTTTTGTGATAGAGTCCACCAAAATCAAATGAAGGTAGTACAGAGAGTAATAAGGAGAACGCTGCTACAGAGTCTGGGTCTGAATCGTCTTCTCAGGAGGCCACGCCAGAGAAAGGTAAAAAACAAAATTTAACTTTAGGAATGGTAGTTAATCCATGTTTAAGTTGTTGTATTTTTCAATGTCCTGTTACTTTTCAAAAATGTAACATTTTTATGTTACCTTTACTGTCTCCTGTAACCAAAGGTACAGGCTGGGTGTGGGAGGTGCTGGGTGCTATAGATTCTCTTATATTAAGCCTTTTTCATGCTCACTTGGTGGTATTGGGAGTTTCTTTACAGAACAAAAGTAGAGGGAATTAACAGAACTGGAACCAGAGCGTAGAAGAAATGTGGCAAACTTTTTTTTTAACAATTCTGTTGTATTTCCAGTGACTGAATGTCTGAGTCAAATGTGTATTGCATTAAGCGGGTACAGCATACATTGCTTGAACTCAAAACTCTTTGATGGATTCTAGACTTATGTGGCTTCAAATTGACAAAATTTTATGGAAATTTTGGAAACTGTGGGTTTTCTTCAGCAAACTGCATGCAAGCCCAAGTAAAAGTGGAAAATGAGTTGTGCTGTCCATTTGTAGGCACATGGCTGGCAGCAGTATGAGTACTGCTGGAGCACGTACAGATATGCAGTTGTCCATGCAAAGGTTTTGAAATACTGTGTGTAGGAGCAAAACTTTTTGATAACTTAGCTTGTCGATCCCTTGTGTCCTGTGCTTGTTAAACAAGTATTAAAAGGCAAGCTTTAATTTCTACTTAAAATTTCAGTCCTTTTTGACATGTTCTAGTAAGGTCTGTCTTCTGTACTTTTCAAAATTTCTCAAAGCTCTGGTATACTTGTGTGAGACCTTTATAAATCTTATAAAATTATATGCCAATCATTCTCAGACTCTCAAAATGTTGTTCAGCTAATAATATTTCAGAATCACTGGCAGAGTCTGCAGCAGCCTATACTAAAGCAACAGCAAGGAAGTGTTTATTAGCGAAGGTAGAAGTGATTACTGGGGAGGAAGCTGAAAGTAACGTGTTACAGGTAAGAAACAGAGTGCAGAGGAGCTTTGAGTTTGTGGGGATTCATATGAATGTCCAGTGAATCCACACCATCTGATTCCCTACAACTCAGCCTTCCTCTATTATCTTTAATGTACTTTCTTGTGTAAAGTGCAAACTTCAGATATTTATTCACATCCTTACTTATTATCCTGTAATTTGTTGTTTCTTCATTTCCTCTTTCTGAATAAATTTTAGTGTATAAGCCATCCAGGTGGCTTTTCCTGGTGATTTTCCTGAATCAATGACATAGAAGCTTCTATCTTATACAACACAACTATTTGAAGAAAACTTAAATGAACTAAATATTTTAAAGTTGTTTTTAATTGTTGTACTACTGAAGGTTTTTTAAAACTTGGAATCGACTAATTATGGCAGCAGTCTGGTTTCTTGCAAAGCAGAAACCATACCACAGCATTTGGAACTTGTCTTGAGGTACTTAATTGAATGAGTGATGATTTGGAAGGATATTTGGTCCTGACTTAGACTCCTGTTTTTTATTGTGATTTATTTAGCATTGTAGTTATTCATTAACCTAAATATAACCATTAGTATGTCCTTAAGAAGAATGTACAGGGTTTCATGCAAAATGAAGTGGTGTATGATTTTTTTCCTCTTCTCTTTTTATCCTTCAATTATAGTTTGTTTTGTTTTTTTTTTTTTTTTTTTTTTTTTTTTTTTTTTTTTTTTTTTTTTTTTTTTTTTTTTTTTTTTTTTT